CAGCCACTCAACAGTAAAAGCTGCCTATAAAAACTGTACCTTAGGCAAAATAAAAGTGGAATGTACCCAGCTTTGTACTCTATTGCTGCCTCCTTCATATCAACTTTGGAAAATAATGCCTAAGAATATCATTACACCATTTGTTTATAACAATAAGCCAACTATAATTTAAAGAAACAAATTATTCATGAACTTTGATATTTGTTACTGGCAGTACAATTTACAACTGCTAATGACAGACTAGTATGTTCCTGCTCAACAGCAATTGTTGGAAATCCACAGTCTATTTAAGCCAAACTTGGCTTGCTTCCTGTTTTTGTTCAGCCTGCAAGCTAAGAATAGGTCTTGAAATTTTAAATAGCTTTCAACCATCAAAGGAATACCGGTAGCATATGAAAATAACATGAAATTCACATTTCAGTGTTGATTAATTTTTGTTGGAGCATAACCATGCAAATTCATTTTGTATGTCTGTGGCAATGTGAAACAACTTCAGCCCATGCAAATCACAAAGTCAAAACTATCTACAATCTGGCCCTTTACAGAGAAAATTTACTGACCCTTAGGCTAGAACAAAGAATGAGGCATAATATCATAGCAATATCTCTTAAGACAAAATCCTGAACACAGGCAGTAAAACTTACAGAAGTAGTAGAGTGATGGGGTGAGAATGTTGAAAGGAATAACAATGATCAAGATCCATTATATTCATAAATTGCATTGTTGAATGACAACTCCTTTGTACAACTACTTAAAATTAATAATAATTTTAAAAAAGCAATAGTAGTGAATACCACCTGGGAAGGAAGTCCTTCCCATGTTGTTCAAAGTTTCTGATTTCTTGCCATACTGGGGTTTGAACTTAGGGCCTTGGTCATGCTAAGGAAGCAGTCTACCACTTGAAGCCCAGCACTGTCCGCTTTAGTGTTTTCCGGATGGGGGGGTCTCATGTTTTTGCCCCAGCTGGCCTGGACTGTGATCCTCCTACTTTGCCTTCCAAAATAGCTGAGATGCAGGCTTGTATCACCACATCTGACACTTTAATTTCTTGAAGGACAAAGAAACCCAAAATAACCAAATAAAACTCCTGCATTTTGTCTATACTCATATTTGTACATTTATCTTTCAGATTAGAGTGGAACAATAAAAGGGAATTTGGTCCCAAGTCAGAGGATAGATCCAGATTTTAAGTAAGTGTTTTTTTTTAATAACCTAATTCTAATACATGTTTCACTTTTTCTTTCTCTTTTTGTTTCTTTTATCTTTCCTAATAGGAATTGAACCCAGAGCCTTGACCTTGTCTACTACTTGAGCCGTGCCCCTATCCCTTTCATTTGTATTTTGTTTTTGAGACAGGGTCTCACCAACTTTGCTTGAGCTGGTTTCAAATTCATGATTTTCCTGCCTCTTCCTCCCAAATCATTGGGATTACAGGCATGCCCTATCTCAACTACCTCATTCTTGAAATCCTTCCCAGTCTGTATATTATTTTTTAACCCCAAAACTTTATTTAAAACACTAAAAAATGATAAAGTAATCAAAATGCTTTTAAGCCCAAAACAAAGTTAATACAAAGTAAAGTGGGCTCTCTTTTTCCTCAAGTAAGAAATCCTCCTATTCATTGTAAATTACTAAAGGGGAGAAATTTACTATAGCAGGTTCTATTCAATGAATGTTTCAAAGAATCCACAGGAAAGTGCACAGATGTGTAGGAAATCATATCACCTTCCTAGGCCACTACTGTGCCCTTGAAAAGTAAGTGCATTGGATGAAATAGTCTCTAAAGAGCTTGTCAACAGTGGCAATTTATGCCAAATGACTAGCCTCAGGTTTTTTATCTGTAAAAACTGGATTAACAATAGAATCTTCCTATGGTTGTGAGGATTAAATGAGTTAATCCACATGAAGTGCTTGAAAGCACTAAATACACTTAGCTAGCATGATTATTATTCCACACAGACATTTTACAAAAATCACTGGTTGGGCAGCTCCCCTATGACATATACTGTATTAGAAAATATAGAAATATAGGGATTAAAGTACAAGTTCTCTTACATTAGGTAAGAATGAATGGCATTGAAGTCTAGAGAGGTTTAACTTCAGCATATCTATCATTGATAGTTTTCTGAAAGGATCTACAAATGCCAATTGTATCCTTAGTGTGTGAATTGTTAGTTCTAAACAATGATTATTGTCTTAAAATGTCAACTAATGTCCACTGCCAAGCAAAATAATAGTTTTAGAAAAGATTCTTTGACTTACGTTTCAAAAGACCAAGTATTTAGTAAAAAGAATATAGCGCCCAGCTTGGTAGTGAACATCTATATTCCCAGCCCTCAGGAAGCAGAGGAAAGAAGATTTTGACTCCCAGACCTGAGGTACAGGGCAAGAGCCTATCTCAAAAGCCCAGAAACAAAAATTAGTTTACAATTTGATCACAGGTGAAGAACATAAGGAAGATTGGCTAGTCTAGTTAGGTATATGAAATACATGCTTCTGAACCAAACTTACCATCCAATAAAATTGCATATGTGTATTTATTCCACAAATGTTTGCTGAGTCCCTCCTATGGAGTAGTGTGTTCTACAATGATTAGTATAAAGAAATGGTTCCTGCATTAGGGAGTTAACAGGCAATTATAATTAAGTATGACCAGCATTATGAGAATGCCCTGTATGGTATAGGAGTATTGGGTCCAGGGAATGAGAAGAAGAAACAATTGTGACCTCAAAGATGAGTAGCCTTTTCACAAAGCACAAAATGGAGATAAAGTCTGTGCACAAAGAACAGATGACAAGTGTGAGGGAACAAGTATGGGGCACAACAATGGGCAGAGCAGCAGCAGAAGATCCTAGAACTTACCAAATAGTTTGCATTCTTTCTTAAGGGCAATGAGAAATCACTGAACATACTAGGTAGGCATCAATAAGTAACTCTGGTCATCAAAGCAGAGGCAAGAAGTGAAATCAGTATCTTGCCTTGAGGGCAGGGAAGGTGACTCAGTGGTAGAGTGCTTGCCTTGCATGCCTGAGGCCCTGGGTTCGATTCCTCAGCACCACATAAGCAAAAAGAAAAAAGCTGGAAGTAGCACTGTGGCTCAAGTGGTAGAGTGCTAGCCTTGAGCTGAAGAGCTGAGGGACAGGGCCCAGGCCCAGAGTTCAGGCCCCACGACTGGACCCCCCCACACAAAAAAATATCTTGCCTTGAAATGGAGATGGGGGAGGATACTCCATTTAGTAACAGGAAACTTCTGCCCTGCTTGCTACTAACAGAAGGATATCTTTTGTTTTAACTTATTTATAGTTTAACTATTACACGCATAATAGAGTAAAATACAAAAATATTTGCTTTCTTATTTACAATGTGAGTGTCTGCATATTCATATCTTGACTCCCAAACCAACCACCGTAGTTGAAACAGAAATATACAGGCCAGGCTCAGCTGAAGAGGCAATGGTAGTTGGGTGGAGCCATGAATTTGAACTTGGACTTTGGAAGTGGACCAGTTCCACGGTCCATTTGATGTTATTTAATCTCTCAGCAATGAGGAGTCTTTCTCCTACATCCCTAGAAGCATTAGTAACTGGCAACATCACAGAGCATCTATGGTTTCCTTATTTTGGCTCAAGTCTAGAAGAAATGAAAGCTCTCTCCACCGGTAGATTTCTCAAAGACATGAATCTTGAAGATGGCTCTAAAAATCTGTCGCAAGGTTGTTTAATCACAAACTTGGAGTCAGTCTTAAAGCAATGGAAGCAAGTCTGAAAAGTCTAGAATATCACAAGGGACTTATCTCAAGCTTGACTATACACATAGACTCCTCCCCTTGACAATACTGTTGGCTCAGACAACTGGAATAAAGAAGGATCTGGGTTCCTTTGAAAAAGAAAATATACTAAATGCAGGAATTATTATGAATGATGCTGACTAGCCAATTTACAAGTCAGAACATTTTGAATGAGTACTCTCTGTGAGTATTTTATGGGCCATTTTCCCATTTTCTAAGTAAAAAAAAAAAATAAAAACCCTCAGAATAAAAATATATTTTTGCTCAAATCTCTATAATCACCTCTAAATGTTAATGTATGATTGAAACTCCTTAAGTTTTTTAAGGTGATTTGTCTGTTGTAACATATATTTAATCATACTTAATGTATGCCAACTTGACAACAGAATTGACTATCTGCAGATAAGCTATTGGATAAACTAAATCCTCAGCCTCCTGAATAGCTAAAATTATTTGTGTGAGCTGTCAGTATTCAGCTCCTTTTTTGTCTTACCGGTAAAATAAATTTGTATCTTTAGGGACAGTCATAGTTATGTTTCCAGCCTTTGCAAACAGCCATATAAAAATTTTTTTTCAAAGCTACTCACTAGTTGAGAAGGAACTTCAGACGAATAGGTACCAATTTCATATGATTGTAATCTCCCTCACATTCAACTCCAATGGTGTAACTATCCAAAAGCACTGATGCCCTGCATACATTTAAGAGGCTGACTGTGGAATGGTGAAATTCAGTGAAGTTCTCCCTAGCACTACACAAAGCAGCTCTCATGCTACTGAACTCAGTAAAGACTGTTTAGACATGGTTTCTGCATTTGTTCTTTATCTTCTGATTAGTATATAACCAAATAGCAAAGGCTACTTGACACACATCTCATCAAAAGACAGCCTTCCTGGGTCTCAAGACCCACTTACTAAGATAGTAATTATAATTTCATTAAAGCCAACATAGAGATATTGTGAAGCTCACATAAGAAAACGCAGTTGAAAGTGCTTACAAAAGTTTTAAGTATGTCCCCCTAAAAAGAGGATCACTATGAAACAATCATCTTTGACTAGAAAAGAAGCTTATTCTTTCTTCCAAAAAAAAAAAAGCTGAAGTCATGAGTTGTCTTTATATAACAGAAGCTAAAATTGTCCTGGATATTCTTCAGGGGAAAAAAGAGAGATAGTAAAGGCTTTCCAGTCCATTTAGTGAGTTAGCCTCGCAGCTGTGGCTAAGGGGTTCCCATTAATAAGTAGAAGGTCAGGGCGACAATGAGAAGCAAACAAAATGGTGATGAGAAGGTCTGATAGGCAGCTGATGGCATAAAAATATCTTCATATTTGTAAATACTGACCACGCGCTCTGAAGTTGGTGGAGAGTCTATATCATGTCGGGTGATGGAGCCTTTAGGAAAGAGACAGAAGGGGAAGAACCATTGTTAAAAGTAGAGATGTGAAATGGCACAGGCAAACAACAGAAAAACTGGAGAGAAGTCTTTTTTTTAGCGCACAGCAAAATCAGGAATCAGTTCCGGAATCAGGTATTAATTAGAGTTAGTGGCAGAATTAGCTTTAATTGTACATTCAGTAGAAAAAAACAGCAATTCTCTACATGTATCCATTCATCTGCAATTACCTCCCCCCCCCCCCCCCCACACACCCCTCCAGTGTGGACAAAGCTAATGTTCTCTTCATGGCACTCCAATTTTCATATTCCTGCTTAGGAAGGGAACTGGTTGAGTCCAGGAATTTGAGAACAGACTGAAAAACATCGCAAGACACCAACTCTTCTTTAAAAGACAACAAACAGTGAGGTACATGTGGCTCAAGCCTGTAATCCTAGCTACTCAAGCAGCTGAGATCTGAGGATTAAGGTTCAAAGCCACCATAGGTAGGAAAGTCTGTAAGACTCTCTCTCACTCTCTCTCTCTCTTTTTTTTTTTTGTCGGTCGTGGGGCTTGAACTCTGGGCCTGAGTGCTGTCCCTCAGCTCTTCAGCTCAAGGCGAGCGCTCTACCACTTGAGCTATAGCACCACTTCCGGTTTTCTGGTGCTTTATCGGAGTTAAGAGTTTCATGGACTTTCCTGCCCGGGTTGGCTTTGAACCATGATCCTCATATCTCAGCCTCCTGAGTAGCTAGGATTACAGGCATGAGCCACCGGCGCCCAGCTCTGTAAGACTCTTATTTCCAATTAACCTCCAAATAGCTGGAACGAGAGCTACTGTGACCCAAGTGGTAGAGTTCTAACCTTAAAAAAAAAACAAAAAAAAAACTAAGGGACAATGCCCTGGCCTTGAGTTTTAGCCCCAGGGCTGGTACACACATATACACACAGACAATAGTCAAACAGATATATAATAAGCTGACATTGATTAGAAGTATCTGAGCTGAAAACACATATGAAAATTGGTTTAGGAAACTGAGACCTAAGAATTCAGTGCAAAGGCTTCCTTATGACTAGGGCAGAGCGAAGGTTTTTAAGGTTCTGTATCTAGGGAAGCTTTGCCAGATTTGTCATGCTAAGCCTCCTCTCTACGGCTGGCTCCTGCTAGCACAAACTCTTCTGCTTGGCATGGGAGTTCTCTCCACAGTGTCAATCATGTATGCCTCTACCTACCCTGGCCTCATTGGCTACGTACCTGGGCTTCTGGATTGAACCAGTATTTTCCTTGGGGAAAATCAAGTCAGTACCCCTTGCAAGCCTTAGCTCCAAGTTAATCTCTTCTAAGAGATATACAGGGAAACAAGAATTTAACTGACACAGATACTTTAGGAGGATGCTCAGGAAACAAGAAAGGCACAGGCCTCTACTTGGGAAGAATGTGCCTGTTTTGCATGGAGAAGGTGAAAAGAATGAAAGACTTGAGCCAGCTTATCAGCTAAAGCCAGACATGTTTATAGAAGATGCCTGTTAGGCCAGGATGCCTCTGTGTGTGTGTGTGTGTGTGTGTGTGTGTGTGTGTGTGTGTGTGTGTGTGTGTGTGTGTGTGTGTGTGTGTGTGTCCCTCTTTGTAATTTTAGTTACCACAGCTAACCAGGGTCTGAAACTAGAGTACAAGAATGGATTCAGAAAGTAAATAATCATGATGGAAAAACTGCAATCTTTGGACAACATTCATGCTGCAGCATTCCCCTAGGGGCCTGATCAGTCTTCCTGATTACTGTCACAACCAGTCTTTCTGGAATCTTACCACCAAAAAATGATTCCCACCTAGTGTTTCTTCTGTGGAGCCTGCCAAAAAAAAAAAAATTCTTGCCCCTAATTCAAATGGACCAATAAGTCTTTGTCTGTAAGCCTGCCAAAATGTGAGTCCCTGACTCAAACCCAGGGAAGAGGGAAGAGAGGAGACATTCCCCTACACCAACAGCCTAAATGGACAATCGGTTTCCTGTCTTCTGCTTGCTCTCCTGAGTGGCCTACTTTTGTAATAAACTTTCCTTAGTCTAGTTCCCATGGTTACTTTATTTCTATGCTACTCTAGAGAAGAAGAATTCATCCATCCTACATCAGTCACACATACCTAACTTATTACATTGTGTTGTCATAATTGTCCTATTTTATTATTGTTGTTGTTGCTACTATCATACTGTGCCTAGTTTATAAACTGCATGTAGGAGAAACCATGATAGACGTAGGGTTTCATGCCCACTAGGGGGCTTGGAGCACATCACCATAGATAAGGAGGGACTATTACATAAAACCTTTTCAATTTGTTAAAGCATTTTCAAATACTCACTTTCATTTGATACTTCAATAATCCTATATAGAAGGTATTATTATTCCCACTTTAGATATAAAGAAATGAAGCTCAGATTTTAGGTATCTGGATAAATATTATGCAGCTGCCAAGAGGCAGAACCAATACTCAAATTCAAACTTTTAGCCTCCAAATCTCATTTTTAAAATGAGTTCGTATCTCTGAGCTGAGATACAATTTATTTCCCAGGGTATTGAAAGTACTTAAAAATATCATTGCAGATCCACTGTGGCTAATCTAGGAAGCCAGCAACTGAAAAAAAGTGTCACAAACCTGGAGGCATCCAACTATTTCCCCAACTAACAACAGGCAAAAAAAAAAAAAAAGGTAGCTTATACCTTTTCTACACTGACCAGCAGGAGCAAAGGGGGAAAATGAGATCAGATAACAAGTGAACACAGTAAAGAGACTGTGAATGGGGGTGATGGTACACAGCTACTCAGGGGAGTGAGGCAGGGAGATATTGAGCCAGTGAGATACTTGACCAGAGGAAAAAGAAAGGAGTGGAGTGAAGGGAGAAGGGGAGTGGAGAGGGAAAGAGGAGAAAGGAGGAACGGAAGAAGTGGGGACCAAAAAGGGAGGAAAGGAAGAAAGGGAGAGGAAGAGAAAGGAGTCAAAGGGGAAGGAGATGAAAGAACAAAAGGATAGAAGGAAGGAACTAAGGAAGGAAGAGAGGGAGAGAGGGAGGGAGGGAGGGAAAATAGGAAAAAAAGTTACCCAGTAGCTAGAATGTATTCTCCACACTATTGACTAAACTTACTTCCATCTTGGTTCATGCTACTAAATGAATCAACCAGAAGGAGTACTCAAGATATAATGTGACTTTATTCTTCCTCCCTGTTCCCCGGACCTGGAGCTTGAATTCAGGGCCTGGGCACTGAGCTTTTGTACTCAAGGCTAGTGCTCTACCACTTGAATCACAGTTCCACTTCTGGCTTTTTGGGGGCTTAATTGGAGGTGAGAGTCTTATTGGCCTTTCTTACCTGGATTGTCTCCCCATGCTGATCCTCAGATCTCAGCCTCCTGAGTAGCTAGGATTACAGGCATGAGGCAACTGTGCCAGCTTTGTGACTTGATTTTTAAAGGTCTCTAAAAAGGCCTTATGATGTCCTTGAGTTTTTACAGAAGAGCCTTTGCACCCAAGCTGAAGTTATTCGTGGACCTGTGTCACTAGGGAACTAGTTAGAAATGCAGAATCTTAGGTCCACCCACACATAGAGAAAACTGCTTAATACAGCAGTTTTAACAATACTGCCAGGGAATTCAGACTCACTTTAACACGGAAGGACTAGTGGGCTAAATTCTAACATCATTTGGTTGATTCATGACCACAAGAATAACCATCAGATGAGCATTAATGCAATACCTGCTGTCAAGCTCTAGAGCAATCTCCAGCAACCTTTTCCTGGACTTAAGAGTGTTCATGGACTTTTGAGTCCAGCAGGCATACACTGAATTTTACTTCTTCAACTAATTAGTTGTACATCTGTAAGAAAGTTTCTTAATCTAAGATAAGGATAATTCTAGACTTCTGCAAAATGTGTGAGGAGTAAATGGAACTGTGATCATTTTTTTTTTTTTTTTTTTTTGTCGGTCGTGGGGCTTGAACTCTGGGCCTGGGAGCTGTCCCTCAGCTCTTCAGCTCAAGGCGAGTGCTCTACCACTTGAGCTACAGCGCCACTTCCGGTTTTCTGGTGGTTTATTGGAGATAGGAGTCTCAAGGTCTCTCCTGCCCGGGCTGGCTTTGAACCGAGATCCTCAGATCTCAGCCTCCTGAGTAGCTAGGATTACAGGCGTGAGCCACCAGCGCCCGGCTGGAACTGTGATCATTAAACAGTCCATCCAACAATATAGGATGTGTTTCATCAAACACATCACTCTTGGTCCTATGCTATTTCCCAGTGCTCTAGCTTAGCCTGTATTCATTTGCTTCTCCATGCTTATGGAAAGGGTCATGTCTCTCTTTTTAAAAAAAATAATGTTTACAGTGCTCTCTTATATACACAGGGTGACTTCAATGAATGATGCCTACAAGTACAATGGTGAGGGGTGTTTACAGAAAATGCTGAACTAGAAGCTTACCCTGAATGGCTGGGCCCCAAGCAAACAGATAATACCAACTCAAATGCAGGTCGACGATTGTCTCATCTCTGGGAACGTTCACGGGGCGTTTAAATCTGCAGGTGACTCTGTTGTTCTCAAATACGCCTTCTTCATCTCGGGCAGGATTCCTCTGAATCTCCTTTGCCCACTGACCTACATTGTAGAAGTGCTGTATTCGGACCCTGCCGTTGTCATCATGGACGCATGCCATGACATCATCACCCCCCTACAGGAAAAATGATTAAGCAAAGTCAAAGGTCTGTCTCTTGCAAACTTTCCACTCAGAAAGGAGATGGGATGACCCATCTCCTCTGTACTTTGAAATCTCACCAGAATTACTTTAAAAGACACTGAAAAGTCTTAATCAAGTGAGCAATGTTAGCATCAGAATAATTGGCATCAAGTTTTCCCTGACATCGATTAATGTCAAGACCACATGAATTAACCTATCCAAGAGAAAGCAAGCAGACAGACCCTACTGAAAGATCATTTATAATTTTAAAAACTACCTTGTAATCTTCAAAAGGGTCAACATTATGAAAGATCATTAAAAATAACAAAAGTGATTTTTCTTTTGCTTTTGCTTATAGGTCTGAGACTGGAACTTGGACTCAATACCTAATTTTGCTCATTGGCTAGCACTCTACCAACTGAGCCACGCCTCCAACTCCTAATTAATTGACTTTTTTTAAGATTTAGAAACTATTTCAAAATTAAAAAAGATATATGTCAACTCAATACTTAAGGGCATTTGAATTTTATTTTTAATTTGCAATTAGAGAGCTGTAGCTAGCATAATAGTTGCACTGCATTGATCAACTTATTTGTTCCTAAAATCGTAAGCAACATAAATTAAAAAAGAAAGCAAATTCTATCATAATTTGTGTCTTACCATTTTCTTGTCTGAAGAGAACCCAACTGCTACCCAACCATCTGTGTCTGCACTTAGTTCAAATTCCACATCAGCTCCTATTATCCGGTAACTAAGGAAATAGTCACAGGTCTCAGCATTACAGCCTGGCTTGCCATATCTGGAGGACAAATCCAAAGAGATGATTGCTTCTTCTCCAACTACAAAAGGAGAACATCTACCATATCTCAGACAGGATGTTAAGTAAATTAGATCTTTGCTTCCTGGGATCTCAAAAACACAGCTTCACTTGGCTAGGAGGGACCTTAAGAGATATTCTTCACTTTATTCATGTATAAACTAAGGTCCAGAGAGGAAAATCAATGTTAGTAACAGGACTTGAACCAGGGTCTCTAAACTCCCCACCAATGTTCTGTGCATTAGAGTTTTGTAAATCTTACCTATTATCAAATTATTTCTGGATCTCTTTGGAGGAAAAAGATTCTACAGTTTAATAATTTAAATCATTTTTGTCAATTAAATATACACTAGGATTTTTTACTTACAAATTCTCAGTTGAAAGAATGAAGACTTATAAATTAAGTATAAATCAAAACCAAAACCCAGGAACTCTGAAATTCATGGCATTCATGTAATGGCTGATGCAATCTTACTGAAAGTAAATTTCTGCTATTGTACATATGGTATGGCTGATTGTACCAGGCAAGTGTTTTGATTCAAGCGTTTTTCTTACTGCTGACCAGCATCTAGCAGTTCAACTGCTCATCAGATGGAGCTGCTGCAAAACTGTCATATGAATAGCTTATCTGGTACACATTAAGCATAAGTGCATCACTTATTTGTAAAAATTTACCTTTGTTCTGTGGGCTAACTGGTGCTAACTCAATTAAAAATCAGGCATGTAGCAGTATAATGTGGTCATCTGAACATTCAGATCATGCACACATTCCGTATTTTAAAGGGCATCTTTGAGATGGAAACACAAATTTCAATTTTCTTACAAAGGACTTATATGTATATCCTTTTTTTTGAACTGAGGGCCAAGGCACTATCCCTTAGTTTTTTCTGCTCAAGGCTAGCACTCTACCATTTGAGCCACAGGCCCACTTGTAGATGGTTATTTGGAGATAAGAGTCTCATGGACTTTGCTACCTAGGCTGGCTTGGAGCTATGATCCTCAGATCTTAGCCTCCTGAGTAGTTTGAAGCCAGTCCAGACAGAAAAGTCTGTAAGACTCTTATCTCCAATTAACCACAAAAGCCCAAAATAGAACTGTGGCTCAAATAGTAGAATTCCAGCCTTGTGTGAAAAAGCTTAGAGATAGTACCCAGGTCCTGAGTTGAAGCCCTAGGACTGTCACCAAGAAAAACATAATAATAGTAGCCTTCAAAATGCTTTTAGTCCAAAGAAAGCTCAAGGACCAATATTAAAGGTTTTCCTTTAATATTGAGCTCTGAATACCAGCAAACCAGAAACTTTAGTTCAGGGCCATCACAACCTTGCTCAAGGGAAGTTCCAATCATACTGTTTTCTACCCAGCCCATTATGTCCTTATGGAATACTATAAATAATTATGTATGGACTGAGCACTCCTGAGCTAAGAAAGTATAATCATCAGTGCTTAATGAGTACTTAGTATCATATAGAATCTGCAAGGAATTGGGTATTTGACATGTCTATCATTGGCAGGTCTTCCCACAGCCCCAGCTGAATAAGCACAGATCTATTTTCTGTCACATGAATTTCTTCATACATCTAGTTGGTAAGGAATAAACATCTGGGTCAAGGGCAGTACAAACTGAAATGTAGAACCTGAGACTGTCCAGTGTTGAGTGCCTGCTGAAGCTTTTATGACTGAACATGACCATTAGAAAGCTCCATTACCCTGCAGAAGTTGACAGGGAAACAGGTCTGGGGTTAGAATGTCCTGCATACAATGTAAGTACTGCCTTCAGAAGTAAAGGAAACTTTTTCTTTTCCTTAAAGGTGTCCTTACACTTCTACTCACCTAAAGCAGCCCTTGGTTTTTCCACAGTCTTCCACTTTGATCTTGGCAAATGGATCCACAGGAGGGGCGGTAGGGAAAGGGTAACCTGGTAGTGAGAAAAGATAATGGTTAGAAAATCCAGTGACCACTTTCCAAAGGGATTTTTTTAAATTTTTAAAATTTTAAATAAATTTTCTACCCCACATACCTATGTTTAGGGACTCCACAAAAGGCTTTGATTAAGCCCAAATATTGTATTCCTGAGGACAGGACACTGGGCATATACCTTTGAACCTATCTTTATTTTAATTTTTTTGTTGGTCATGGGGCCTGAACTCTGGGCCTAGGCACTGTCCTTCAACTCTTCAGCTCAGGGTTAGTGCGCTACCACTTGAGTCACAGTGCCACTTCTGGCTTTTTCTGCTTATGTGGTACTGAGGAATTGAACTCAGGGCTTCATGCATGCGAGGCAAGCACTCTACCACTGAGCCACCTTCCCAGCTCTAAACCTATCTTTATGTGGGATCTGGGAATGAGTTGCTTTTTAAAATCTTCTTCTCATTTTTAGGAAATGAAACCCTGAGCAGAACACAATTCTATATAACCACTGCTTAGCATTGTTCCCTGGGAGTTTGAAAGTCACATTTTAATAAAATATACATGCTTTAAAAGAAAAGACATTGGCACTGATACACTTACATACTTGGTAGGAGATAATTTTTCTACATATTAACACAACAGCATCTATTCCATTCCATTTTTCTGAACAGTCCTTTTGCTTGACACTGCATGTAATGTTTTCATATGACACTACGTCTTTTAAACACACAGTTTCTGACAGTTGTGTATCTTCCTTAGCAGACTGCTTACTATAAAGCTGCATTGAAGGATAAGGTTGCATCTGATTCTAATGGAAATCTTGCTCATCTAGGCTGTTGGCTCTACAGACACAGGAACCAATGTGATTCAGTTCACCCTGTGTTATCTTGCCCAGTGAGTCAGGCAGTGGACACAGGGTAAATGACTATCAAATGATGAGATATCATCATTCATAGACATTAGGTAATATAAATAAATTGTTCAAAAGTTACTTTTCCTTATTATTTAAAGTCGTGTCTTTGTGATTTGTGGTGCTCTTTGCAATGAGAGGGTTTTATTCCATTACGTTTGCTATAGTTTTTTTGTTTTGTTTTTTTTTTTGGGTCCGGTCGTGGGGCCTGAACTCTGGGCCTGGGCTCTGTCCCTCAGCTCTATAGCTCAAGGTTAGCGCTCTACCACTTGAGCCACAGCGCCACTTCCGGCTTTTTTCTTTTTGCTTATGTGGTGCTGAGGAATCGAACCCAGGGCCTTGAGCATGCAAGGCAAGCGCTCTACCACTGAGCCACCTTCCCAGCCCTGCTATAGTTTTTAGAAAGCCTCCAGGCTCTGCTTTTCTGGCACATGCCTGTGCTGGGGATAATCTATTTCTTCTGCCCTAGAGCTCGAGCACATGATGCATACAGCCCTAACTTTTCACTGCTGCTAAGTAACTGGGTCAAATTCACGATATTTTTTCCCCAGTGTTAGGCACTTGGCATACACTGTACCACGAAATAACTTACCTTGTTTTGCAAGCAGTTGAAAAATAGAGAATTAACTCCATTCCCCTCTACCCCACCAGGTTGCTGGGAGGGTAACTCTAAGTCCTTAAATGTTGCCAAGTATCAGGAGAGAAACACAAAGGCATAATGCCTATATGCTTCTGATCATATAAAATAAAATTTATCGAAATAAACTCCAGGAAATGGAGAAAAGAGGTTTTTCTCCTCGTTGCTGTTTTTGTTTTCTTTTTGTCTTGTTTTATTCATTTCGCTGATTTGGGGGTACAGAAATGGAGGGACAAAAGGTGAGCAAATGCAGCAGTAGTACTCACTAGACAACTTGTGGGTGGGGATGGGAGGGAAAAACAGAGAGCATGAGGGAAGGGATGACATTGTCCAAAAAAAATGTATTCTTTACCTGATTTATGTAACTGCAATCCCTCTGTCATCAGCTTTATAATAACAGTAACATTAAAAAATGATTAGCATAAATTAATTGTACGAGTAAGAAGAGTGAGTGAGGGAAGGGGTAGGTTAGGAGGGATGACTTGAAAGGATCAAGATGCATTGTATTCATAAACTACTTTGTTAAATGGCATCTTCTTTTCATAACTACTTAACTATAAATACAAAATTAATGGTTAAAAATTTTTCCAAATAATAGCAATAACTTTGTGATCCCTTAGGGGTCATCTGAGTTTGTGCTAAGAGATGAAATGTACATATCACCACATTTTCTTGTCTCCTTCCAGGCATGGACAGAGGTTGAAGAGATGAATGTCATTACCTGTGTTCATGTAGGCATGCGCCAGAGGCTCTGGCTTTTTTTTTTTTTTTTTTTTCTGCCAGTCTGGGGCTTGAATTCTGGGCCTGGGCACTGTCCCTGAGCTCCTTCTGCTCAAGTGTTCTACCACTTCAACCATTTCCAGCTTTTTCTGTGATTAATTGGACATGAGAGTCTCAGACTTTTCTGCCTAGTCTGGCTTCAAACCGTGATCCTCAGATCCCAGCCTCCTGAGTAGCTAGGATTACAGGTGTGATCACGCCACCACCAGTGCTGGCTTAGAGACTTTTGTTTTTAAGAAGCCCAGGAGAGGACTTGCAGGATCACTTCGTTAACTGTACCAGGTGTGACGCATTCAGTATTCAGGATGACAGCACCACCTGCAGTTCTGTCAGTGGTGCAAGACCAGCCCAGTCTCTCCATTTCCTTGGCTGTCTTTGTGTTGCCTGCCATTCTCACGATTTTCATCTGGATTTCCCTAAGGACTGTTGGGTTGAACTCACTTTCCAATCTGTGTTAACCATTTGGATTTCTCCTGTGATGTGGCTATTTTCTTCACTCCCTTCATTACTCGGCTTTTGGATTTTATCATTGAAGTCTGTGCAGATTTTGAATAACTGCTGTTTTCAGATGTTGATATTTTTTCCCCCAGTTTGCCACCACTTGTGTTTTTCCCCCTCTGTGTTTGTTTGTATTCTTTCTTTGACTCAAATCATTTTTTAGCCTCTTATTGGCTTACATTAATTACACAAAAGGGATTTAATGGTTCCATTTCCACACACGTTTACAAATGTCCCAAACAATCTCACCCTCTCTGTCATTCTCTTCTCCCTTCCAAACAATATCAACAGGCTTTACAATCACAGATAATCTACTCCAACCATATTTATCCTCTTTCAATATGTATTTCAAAATTATTCACTCTCTTTCTCTTTTCCCTTCTCCTCCATCTCTTAAGTAGTCCCTTAGTCCATATTGTTGTCTGTCTGTCTCTTTCTCTCTATTTATCTATCTCTATCTATCTGTAAATGTACCAAAAGTTTTTGCTATCTTGTAAGACTTTCAAAGAGTGAGCTTTTGGGCTCATGTATATATGTGTGCATTTCACTATTTTACTACTTATCCTCAAATCTGTATTGTGTCATCCTTATTCCATTTAGAGTAGAATGCTTAGCTTGCTAGTTTTCAATCTTACTTCCTGAAGTGTACCGGATTCAAAACTAAAATTCTTCCTAATTCAGCTCCATTTCAGAATCAGGGCTAACATTTTGACATATAATGCTTTCATGATCATTGGAAATGTATCTTGGTTTTCCCTTATGATTTCCTCTTCAGCACACAGGTTAATATTATATTATAGATGGTTCTTCCTCCCCTATACTTTTTTATCCAGGGACCTGCACATGTTGGCAGACACTGTCATTGATCTATACCTCCAGCACCCTTAGAAGACATCCGTCTGATGTATATTTTTTTAATTTACTGACTTCCTTATATTCTGTATACAGCATGTTATCACGGATCTTTTGTGTGCTCAAATAGCATATACTTTTTTGTATTATATTTGTGGATTCTATGTGTGCATTTGATTAAACTTATTGCATTTATAATTCAAATCATCTATACCTGTTAGTTAAAAAAATTTAAAGTCTCAATGCCAGTAGTGGTATTTCTAATTAGAAATGTCAGTCTATTTCTCTATAAATTTATAGCAGTTATTGCTTTAGAAACTACATAAATGTACAATGATTTTGCATCGCTGGGGAAGAAACCAGGGTTTCCAGCATACTGGTCAAGTGCTCTACCACAGAGTAGACCCCCTATCCTGGAAGCTACATTGTTACAGGAATATGGTCCTGATTTATTGTTTCTTTTATCAGTATATGACATTATTTGTCCCTTTTACTTTGTCTTCAGCTAGATTTTGTTTGATGTTATTGTCACCTCAGTTTCCCTATAATTCACTTAAGCCTTGAAAGATACTTTATTTTGTTATTTATTCATTCATGTGCATGCAGCCATCACTACTATAATTCTCCAAATTTCTTGGTTCTAAGGAAAGAAACATAGACAAGTGAGAAGTCACTCCTGACTCCTTTTTCTTTCAGCCTCTGACAGTCACTAATTTACTTTGTTTTTATGAATTGTACATTTCCTATCAGTAGAATCATACAATATGTGATCTTATGTATCTGGCTTCTTTCACATCGTGCCCACACTTGCAATTTTCCTATTTATTTATTTGTAAAATTAAGACCATCCTACTAGGAGTGAAATAGAACCTCATTGTGATTTGGATTTATTTTAAGACCCAGTGAAGATCATCTTTCCATGTGCTTCTTGACTACTTGTATATCTTGTTTGAAATAAATAACTTTCTAAAGCCTTTTCCCATTTTTAAATTGGGTGAACTGCATTTCATCATTTCATTAAAACTTATCTGGCTTTCAAATCTCTGCTAAATTTTCCATTTTTATTCCTAATTTTGTTTGTCTTCTTTCCTTCTTTTTTTTTCTTGACCAGTCTTACCAAGTCCCTAGATATGTAGTCAAACATTATACTGGATGTTTCTATGAAGGATGGTTTTTTTTTGGGGGGGGAGGATTAATATTTACTGTGAGGAAATCAGATTTCCCCCCTTTAATGTGGATGGGCCTCATCTAGTAAATTATAGAACACAATAAGTGACCTCCTCTGAGCAATGTAGATGTTGCTACCTTTGACGTTTGTACCTTTGGTACA